TGAGATCTGGGTCTCATAAATAAATAAGAATTTGGGTGCAGGTAGTTCCTGTGGGAGATGATTCCAGAAATCACAGATGAGGGACAGGGAAAGTAAGTCAAAGAAGGAAGATAAGCCAATAATATTCAGTGTGTTGCTGAACAAGTTACCACTGTGAGTGACTAGGTTAAATCTCACCTGGGATCCTCTGAAGAATCATATGGAACATTCCTCAGAATTGCCCACTAAGGGCTGGTGGAATCTGGGATATTTTTGCAGTAAATTTGGTTCTTGCCTGGTTGAGAGTTGCCTCTAGGGGCATTACATCCCAGGTGCTTCAGGGCTGCCTAGAGCACAGGTGAGCAGTTCCTTGGCATTCCAGAGAGCTTGCAGGATGAGAAGCAGAGTCCCAGGGCATGAGGTGGGAAGGTTGACATGTTCAAGAACTGTCCACCTGTGGCTGCAGGCAAATGGAGATGTAGGCCAGGAGATATGGGGTGGGGTGTCCACTGCATTCACTCCCTGTAAATACCTGAATGACACTATGTTATATGTAGCTTACTTTCTTGACTTTTTCTTTTTTTAAAAACAGTCTCACTCTGTCACCCAGGCTGGAGTGGAGTGGCACAATCATGGCTCACTGCAGCCTCGACCTCCTGGGCTCAAGTGATCCCCCCACCCCAGGCTCCCAGACAGCTGGAACTACAGGTGCACACACCACTACGCCTGTAGGGTCCAGCCCTGTAGGGTTCTGTGAGTCCCCCTCTGCTGGTGTGGAGATGAGAAATTGTAGAAATAAAAGACACAAGACACAGAGATAGAGAAAAGAGAGTTTGAACCTGGGAGTCCACTGCCATCCAAAGTGCGGGTGTCCTGCAGTGGCCCCAAGCGTCCGCACACTCTGACTTTTATTGAGTGCAAAAGCTGGGGGCAGGGAAGGTAGGGCATAGGTAAGGCTGGCCTTGGTGGTCGGCAACTGGGAGCAGGGTAAAATAGGGTGTGGCAGTGACAGGGTCAAGTACAGCACTTGTCATATAGTTAGGGGCTCAGGAATTTCCAGCAGCTGAGATGATGTAAGGGGCATAATGCGTCAGCACTTTTTCCATACTTGCCACAAAGACATTAAGATTTACGTTACTTTTACTGATTAATTCTTACAAGAAAAAAGGAACCAGGTGCAGAAGTGGATCATGAGATTGACATGGAACATGACCACTGAAGCACAGCATCACATAGAGACAATTAAGCCCCTGGATGTTTGTGGGCCTACCTGACAGCGTCAGGCCCAACGCAAGATCTTGGAGAAGCGGAGTTTCCTCCTAACTCCTCCAAGGAGACTTCTCAGCTATTTTGGACGTCTCCTTCCCTAGCTGGCTAAACAGTGGGCACTTTTCCAGCACTGGTGCTGCTGCACAGCCAAGGCGCCCTCCAGCAGCCCTTATGTGGGCATGACAGATGGCTTAGAGCATCTTGCCTTAGGACCATTCATTTCACAATGTCGCCCCAGGCTCACACTTCCGACCAGAGAGGCATTAGTAAAAGAATTAGGATCACCTATGAACAACTACTATGGTTATATCTCTAGTTATTTTCTTCATTATTTACATAGGAATAGGCTGAGGCTGCTGACTCCTGCCTAGCCACTTATGGGATCTCCCCTCTACACACGCCCAGCTAATTTTGGCATTTTTGTAGAGATGGGGTTTTACCATGTTGCCCAGGCTAGTCTCAAACTCTTGGGCTCAAGTGATCTGCCTGCCTCAGCCTCCCAAAGTGCTGGGACTACAGGTATGAGCCACCGCACCCAGCCCTGGCTACTCTTAAAGGTCTTTGAGGGCAGGAACTAAATATACTCAAAGGCCAGGCAGAGTGAAGCACATGATTACATACATGTCTGAAAATGAATAAGAAAGAAAGGCATAAGAAGGAAAGATAGATGAGTGGCGGGGGTTAATTGATTTAATGAGAACTAGGTACAAATTAGTATAACTAGTCTCATGTCAGCTTTAGCTACATGCTTGAACACACAAGAAGGGAAAGGACAACCACAGCAGCATGACTGAGAATTTGGATCATTAAAACTAGTCATGTAATTTATCTGAGTTGTTTAAATGGGGAAGATGTGGTGTGGCCAAGTTCCAGTTCCTTAGAGAAACCCAGTCTTTTATTTTTTTATTTTTATTTTTTGAGATGGAGTCTCACTCTGTTGCCCAGGCTGGAGTGCAGTAGTGTGATCTTGGCTCACTGCAACTCTGCTTTCAGGTTCAAGCAATTCTCCTACCTCAACCTCCTGAGTAGCTGGGATGCTGGGATTACAGGCGCCTGCCACCATGCCTGGCTAATTTTTGTATTTTTATATTGATTCATTGATTGATAGAGAGTCTTGCTCTGTTGCCCAGGCTGGAGTGCAGTGGCACGATCTCAGCTCACTGCAAATTTCACCTCCTGGGTTCAAGTGATTCTCCTGCCTCAGCCTCCCAAGTAGTTGAGATCTCAGGCATGTACCACCACTCCCAGCGAATTTTTGTATTTTTAGTAAAGAGGATGTTTCACCACATTGGCCAAGCTGGTCTCAAACTCCTGACCTCAGGTGATCTGCCTGCCTCCCAAAGTGCTGGGATTACAGGCATGAGCCACCATGCCCAGCCTGATTTTTGTATTTTCAGTAGAGATGGAGTCTCACCATGTTGGCCAGTATGGTCTCAAATTCCTGACCTCAAATAATCTGCCTGCCTTGGCCTCCCCAAGTGCTGGGAGTATAGGCGTGAGCCTCTGCACCCAGCCAAGAAACCCAGTCTTGATACCTGCCCATTTGCTTACACTTGTGAGCCTCCAATATGTGTGAAAGTTCTTCAATACATATAAAGCTCTGCAAATAGAGCATTCTAGTGTTTGGTTGTTGGCTGAGCATGGGCGGTGAGATTACCAACTCCCTTTTATGATTTTAAGCTACTAGGAGCAAACTGGCAAGAACCATCAGAATGTCCGATGTGTGTACTCTCTGACCTCAGCACTGCTCTGCTGGTCCCTGTGGACAGGATGGGTGGGAGAGCCTGGCAGGGGCTATAATGGAGGTGGGAACCTCAAAAAAACAGCAGCAGCCAGGCCTGTCTGGCATGAGGGTAAAAGAAATCAATATGGAGCCCCCTTCCTCATAACATGAAAGGATGGGTAACCAGACCGCACAGTGTGGCTGGGATGTGGCTGAGGAGGCTGCCATTCCAGCTGTGGTCTCACTCTCACTTTCCCCACTCCAGGAATTATCAGTGGAAGGAAAACAAGACAGAAGCCAGCCTTCCATCAGCCAAGAGTTGTGCTCCCCTCAGCCCCACCCCATGTTTGGTCCTACCTCTCTCCCTTTGGAGGCTCTGGCCAAGTTCAAACCCCACTATCTTTCTCAAGACAAGCTCACAGGCAGTGTTTGCATGAGAGTCTACTTTAATGATTCAGATCTGAGTCATCTAGGAACTGCCCCTCTGAAGGGCAATGGGAAGGGTGCTGGGGCTGGGAGGTTCCACATGAGGTTTCAGTCAGCCACAAGGTTGTGGCCAGCAGTGGGAAATGGCCCAGAGAAGCCCTAAAACAAGAAGAAACAAGTCAGGATGTGAGACGGTGGCTCCTCCCTCATCTGCCCTCCTTCCACAAATACCATAGTAACAGCCTGATCCATGTAAGCCTTCAGCACAGTGACAACTCACCGACTGAGAGCCTGGCCCCTTGGCTCTCACATGTAGCCCTGTCTCTCCATGGTTTGTCCTTACGCTCAGGTCTGGAGAAGAATGGCAGCTCCTTGTTTGAATTATTCCTGGGAACACCAGGGAAACCAGTCCCCTACAGGTAGGTCTCTGTCACATCTGTCACTGAGCTCTGATTACATTGCCCCAGCAACCAATCCAGGCTTAGGAAGCCCAGCTGCCACATTGTGGAAGTAGGAATCTGTTTCCTTGGAGAGCATGAGGAGCTGGAACCCTCTGTGGTGCAGGCTGCCTTTAGATGGAGGGTGCGGCCAGCCGAGGGTGCCCTGCTTCACTGCCACCAGCCAAATCCAAGCCACCTCGGTCTCCCTGGACCAGGATGGGCTTCTCCTTACAGATCTCTCAGTTTTTATTCTTGTTCCCCTTATAGTTCATTCCCCAACATCACCAGGGTGGCCTTTTTAAATCATATCACATTGTGACATTCCTTTCCTTAAAATTTCCCAGTTAAATTCCCACTGCACATAGAATAAAATCCAAACCCTTTGCTATGAACTGTGAGCCCCTGTGTGGTCAGTCCTGGGCCTACTTCTCCACCCTCATCTTCTGCCACTGACTTTCCTGTCCATTCCTTGACATGCCATGGTGTGGGCGGAGGCGATGCTCTCCGCCTATGATGCCCTTCCTTTACATCTTCCTTTGGCTGCCACATTCTTATAATTTAGGTCTTAGTCCAAAGGGGGGAAAATCCCTCTTTTTTCTTTTTCCTTTTATTTTTTGAGACAAAGTCTTATTCTGTTGCCAGGCTGGAGTGTAGTGGTGTGATCTCAGCTCACTGCAACCTCCACCTCATGGGTTCAATCAAGTGGTTCTCCTTCCTCAGCCTCCCGAGCAGGTGGGACTACAGACATGCGCCACCATGCCCAGCTGATTTTTGTATTTTTTAGTAGAAACGGGGGTTCACCACAGTGGACGGGCTGGTCTCAAACTCCTGACCTCATGATCTGCCTGCCTCGGCCTCCCAAAGTGCTGGGATTACAAGCGTGGGCTACTGCATCCAACCAAATAAAGTCTTTTTTCAATGTGGAGGAGTCTGATGTCTGGAATGGCCCAATCATACTGCAGCCCTTGAGAGGAAGGGCAGGGATTGTGCAGGGGAAAGAGCTGGAAATCAGGAGACCTGCGTCCAGTCTTGGCTCTGCCACAAACCCATGGTGTGGCCTTGAGCACGTCCCATGGCCTGGGCCCCAATTTCTCATCTATAAAGAAGGATGGGAGTACTAGATGGGATGTTTTCAGAATTCTGAAAGGGTTCAAAGACCCCAAGGAGATGTCTCAGTACCTTGCCTGGGTGACTTGCCCAGGCCACAAAGTAGAGCAAGAGGGAGGCTGAATGTGAGGGCCTCTGAGCTGCACTTCCCATTCATCAAGGGAGTGTTGCTATCACTTGCTATATACGAGGGCATATATGGCAAAAGGAGGACCTTTTATCTCATTTTGAAAACTCTGCAGTTTCAATGCCTATTTTAAACTCAATGCCTATGCATGATCTTATAGATTAATTTCTTCCTTAGAGGCTCTCAGTGCCTGCATCATGTCCAGACCCCCATATGAATGCCTATAGGTAGTCTGAGATATACAGAAAAGTGGGGGTACCTTTGACTGGGAGAGGAAAAATCTTTTCTTCAGCTTATCTGCCCTCACCCCAATGCCCATTCCCTTCTTCCTATTTGCCTCCCTCATTTAAACAGGGCCAATCTCCCTAGAAAAAGTGAGCCCCTCACCTCAACGGGGTTGGCCACCTCTTGTTTCAGGACCTTGGAAATCACTTTGGAGGTAAAGCACCGATCCCTGTTCAACTTGGCCAAGGGGCTCTGTAAAAAGGGAAACCAGGAGTCAAGAAGGAGGCAGAAGAGGGTGAGAGAGCCCCAGAGGGAAAGCAATTGGATACAAAGTCAGGGATTCACAATTCTTGAGAAGATGCATGAGTCTCGCCATGGGGAATAGGAGTCGAAGTCTCTCCCCTTGCTTGCTCCTAGAAGAGACAGGGAATGACAAATAGGACCTAGGCTTGCCGCACCCACCTCCCCTCCCTTTGCCCATATCACTAATGGATCGTGAATTGTTCTGTGCTGATTCCAAACAGGACCTCTGAATTGTTCTCCTCAAAGTGCTCCTGGCTACTTCTACCTGCAGTTTTAGCACATATTCCTTCCCTGTTCTGTCTGTCTGCCAGAATGCTTACAATGACCACAGGCTTCACACACCTGACCCCAGTGGTTTTAGTGGGAAAAACTGCTTTCCCATCCTTCAGGCATGGATTTTGGGGATGCAGTCTGCTGACATGCTCCATCTTTTGGGTCATTACCTCCTGGGTGATGTCATCCTTCCAGAAAAGACCTACAGGATGAAAGGATGGGGTGAGTTGACACCTGGGATGCTTGGACCCACTCCAGGGATCAGAGCAACCTCTCCCTCAAGTATGTATAAGACTGCATTTTACAGAGAGAATTAAACAAGGTGATGTATTAAACTTGCTTAGCACAGTGCCTGGCATATAATATTCAAATTGAGACAATGATGACAATCTTTTTGCTGGTTCATTATGAAATGAACCAGCAAATTATTGTGAGGATGAAATGAGGTTAGGAATGTAGAGTGCTTAGAAAATGCTAAGGTGGTGATTATCAAACCTTAGCATGTGCATCAGAATCTCCTGCAAGGCTTGTTAAAGTACGAACTGCTGTTCCCCACCCCTATGGCTTCTGATGCAATAGGTCTGGGGTGAAGTTCATGAATTCAAATTTCTAACAAGTTCCCTGGTGATGTTGATGCTGACAGTTCAGGGGTGCACTTTGAGAACTACTGCTCTAAGGCACTATGCACACATTAGGCATTAGCAGTGATAATATGAGCTCAAGGAAGATTTCCTAGCTGATTCTCTCCTCCCCAACATTCATGAAAATCTGCTCTAAAAAAGGATCAGCTGCATGTTGCCAATGGACTCTCTACTCCCTTTCATTCCTTCCTTCTGTGTGTCATACAATTTCCTACTCAGAGGTTGAAGTGTATGTGTGTTTTCCTGGCTGAGAACTTAAGGAGTCCTGGCTTTGGAAAAGCTCATATAGTGTCAGGGTTGGGTGGAGACTAGTCCCAAGGAGTTGGATGCTGGGCTTTTTCAGGTTTTTTTCCCCAAGAAGCCTCTACGGGGCTTTTCCAGGGTGTTCAAATGCAAATAGTCCACCCATCCAGATACTACCCCCACTCTTGCCTCATCCCCATGGGGGTAAATGTGACAAGAAACTTTTAAGTAGAGACATTTGGGGAACAGAAAGCCTGTCCTCGGCCAGATAGCCCCTTTTCCCCCCTCCCCATATCTAACCAGGCCCCAACCTTGTTCTCCAGCTTTTACTTACCTTGGGGTATAATCTGCTGGAGCACCACTTGTAAATGCTGGAAGACTGGGGTGGCAAATCCTTGGAGGGGCCAAAGTTGCCCCATTCCTACTTGGTCCTGACCATCTAAGGGCAAAATAGTGCTGTCAGCAAGGAACCTGGCCAGAAGCCTTCCACATCCCAGTTGAAGAGAAGCAACTTCCTTGTACTATTGGTCCTGACCTCTGTTTCCCCTACCAGGCCCCTTTGCCCACTTCAAGTCTTCCTTCTTTAATTTTTCCCTTCCTCCATCACTACTTGCCATATTCTTCAGCCCCTGGGCCTCATTCACTCTTGTTATCAACTTATAGATAAGAACAAAGCTTATAGGCAAAGAGCAGCCTGTAGAAGTTCAGGTGAGCAGAGGCTCAGAATGCTAACCACATGGGAATAGTAATCGGGTGGGTAGGTGGGGTATGGGGAAACAGGTGAGCTTCATTTTAGGGAAGTCATTGAAGCCTGGAAGGATTAGAGAGGGGGACTGGGATCATTAGAAAGAAAAAGTATTGGTTTGTATAGGGTTTGAGGGTCTGGATCCTTTTCCTGAAAGCCACAGTTTGCCCAATTGTGCATAGGGGGAAGGGCAGGGGTTGGGGAAGAGAACCCCTAATGTTATGCACACCTTCCTTCTTCCAGATAAATGAGATAGGGCTGGAAGGCAGTCTGTTTTTTTGCTATACTGTAGTTACCATGAGCCATTCTGGACAGGTCTTTAGAAAAGGGAATTCTCCTAAAGCCTCCTTAAGGAAGGAGTGGAACCTCCAACACCCTGACGAGAAGGGAAAGAGCTTCGGGAAGGGGAGCCGGTTCTCTGAGGCAGCGCTCCCAGGACTGGTGGGAAGGAGTGGTGACCAGCGCTGGCTCGGCCTGCATCCGGAGCTCGCCTGGCGCTGTCCGTGGTGCTGAGAGGTGGGGTATGCTGGCTTGGCAGCGGCGCTGGGCGGCATGTGGGCGAGGCATAGCCTCAAGGCTTGGCCGTCCTTTCCCACGGCCCTCATCCTCTCATTGCCACGAAGCCACCCCCCACAGTTGTTCCCGAATCCGCCGCACTAGCCTCTAAACCCAAATATCAGGCAGGGAGGAGCGCAACAGACTAGAGTTTGCGCTCTCTTCCCCCACGCGCTCTGCACAGGAATTCTCGAGTCGGCGCAATCGGTCTCCTACTGATGCGCCGGGAGTCTGCTCAGGGTCTACTTGGGTTGGTGCGGGGGGTGGGGCGGGGTGAGGATGGTCCCATTCCGCCTCTATCCTGCTTTCCCTCAGCCTAGCGACCCCCTTATTGGAAATCGGCTCACAGCCACCAGGCTCTGGTGGGCTTACGAGGAAGCCCTGGCTCATCTCCCGGCCCAGCCTTTTCCTTGGACCCAAGACCCCGATACCCGCAGCCCTGGTCATCTCTTTTCTGGCTTTTCTTGTTCCTCCTGTGGCCGCATAGGCTGGTTTTACCTCTCTCTGTCCATTTGTCTTTCCGACCTGCTCCCAAATCCCCAATTTTCCCCTGAACCCACTGCCCAGCCTATCTCAAGTCTACGCCTCTTCCCGCGACACTCTCGCAGCGTTTTTCTCTTCTCGCGCCCGTAAACACATTCTTTTACTTCCAGTTTCCCAGCCTTGAGGCCATCTTCAGACCCCCACTTCTTCAGGATCGCTCTCTTGGCCCTGCCCGCACCCCCCAGGGTTCCTCTTGATAGTGGGCACTAATGTCGCTGCAGCCCCTCAGCAGCAGGAAGCAAACAAGCAGCCGGGGGCCCCCAGAGCTCACAGGCCACAGTGGGCGCTGCATCCTCCCAGGCTCTGCACGCTCTCTCCCCGGCCAAGTCTCAGCGAAGTTCATGGCCGAGGGGCTGAGCGCGGCTGCAGCTTCCCACCAGCCTGCGACGCGGCATCTGCTTACCCCTCCTCGGCAGTTCAGCCAATCGCGAGCAGGCCCTACCCCTGCGGTCGCCTCCTCGACTCCTTCCCCTACCGCCTCCCGACCCGCACCTCTTGGAATCCCAGACCCGGCTCCTTTTGGACATAAACTGGGTCCCAAGAACCACCGCCTGTACTCCCAGTCCCAAGGCTGGAGAAATGGATGGCCTGTAAGATACGGGTGCAAGTTGTACCTACTCAGATTTGTTGTGAGAATTAAATATGAACAGCGATGAAACAGTAGGCACTTAAGGAATTTAGTTTATTTTGTTATCCTTGACATTCACTTCAGTCTCACCCCCCCTTAAAAACCTGTAGCAATCATATAGGTTCGAGCTGCAAAATATATATATTGCACATCCATCCACTTTTCTCCACATCCACTGCCATCGCCCTGGTCCAAACCACTATACACTGTACTTTTTGTTTTTGAGACAGAGTCTTGCAATCTCGGCTCATTACAACCTCTGCTGAACCTCTGCTCAACCTTAGGCTAAACTATTCTCTCACCTCAGCCTCCAGAGTAACTGGTGCATAATACCATGCTCAGCCAATTTTTTTTGATTTTTTTTTTTTTTTTTTTTTTTGTAGAGACAGAATTTTGCCATGTTTCCCAGGTTGGTCTCAAACTCCTACCCTCAAGCAATCCTCCCACCTTGGCCTCCCAAAGTGTTGATATTACTGGCATGTACTCTTTTACATTGAGCTGTTGTAATAACTAACTAGCTGCCTGACCTCTTGCTTTCACTTTTGTGTACTTATAAGCTAGTTTGTAAGCTTTCTAACTTATAGACTGGCATGTAAATTTTTTTTTCATTAAGCTTCAACATTTATTAAACCCGGTGTGGTGGCTTATGCCTGTAATCCCAGCACTTTGGGAGGTCAAGATGGTGGATTACTTAAACCTAAGGGTTTGTATACTGAACATTTGGGGTTTGTACATTACAAAGGATCTGAATTATATTATTATATTTAAAGGGTAACAGTTTGAGTTTTTTCAGGCAGGCAATTAAATTTTTGGCAAAAAGTCTTGATCCTGTGGCAGTCTGGTTAGAGAAGGAATACTTCATCCTATTCTCAATTCTAGGCTGTATCTCTTAGTTCTGGGATATGGTGTGGCCTAAGGTGTAGTCCTTTTCAGATTTCAACATAACCCAAAGCCGTTTACCAAAACTCTCTATTTTATGGATCCTGAACTCCAAACTCAGTTACCCTAATGCTGTGACAGCTGCCAAAATCCCTGTTCAGATATTTGACTTTTTCACTAGATAGGTTCCTTGAAATCTCACCCTGCATGAGTGCCATTTAGAAGACAGCTAAGGATTTCAGGGGAATTGGTATGCAGATTTTGAATTCCTTTCTCTGTAATTTACTCATTTTCTAAATTTCTCCCTCAATTTCCAGCTGCTCTGGCATCTCTATACTCCAAAAGCTGCTTCCTCAGTAAGTAAGACTGCCACTTGCTGACAGAGCTGTTTCTCTGTGTACTGCAGTGAACTCTGAAGTATCTAGAGGAAAAGCCTATACATATAGAACTCACTTGGTGGACTCCCTGTTTTTGAGGATTATATGTCCTTCTAGGTTTCTAACTCTTGATCGATCTCCATGCTTTCATACAGTTATTTTTATATTTTGGCTAGAGTATATATTCAATGTTCATAGAGGGTCTGATACAAATTTCTGTCTTGTCATGACAGAAGCTAGAGGTTTATCTGGTTATCACTGATTATGTGCTGGCATATTATTTTAAGATAAATTTACAGCAATAATTTGAGGCCTAAGAGCAAATGAATGTGAACCTGCTTTGTGAAGCATAATGGTCCTGGCAAAGGGGAAATATTGGTCTTTGGCTGGGATGAACAAAGGTGGGTATGCTTCTTTCTGTATTTTAAGATTTTAAGCTAGCAGGAGAATGGCTATCAAAATAATAATGTACAGGAGCATTGATGCTGCACTTCTTTTTACTGTTTATTGGAGGGGATTCTAATGCTGAGATAATACCCTCAGAAGACCAAGGAGGTTCTCAGGCCTATTGAGCCAGGGGTTCACAGGAAGGAACTTTCTTTCCCAAGAAGAAAGAAAGACTACCATTAAGTGTAGCTGGGGAGAGTGAGCAAAGGAAGATTGTAATTCAGCTGTGGTCCTGCCCTGCCTTACATTCTTGCTACAAATGATGTCTGGAAGGAGAAGGGATTAGAAGCAGCCTAGGCTCCATCTGTGCCAAGGAGCTTTACTGTTCCGATCCCCACCCCAAATGTCCCCTCTGTTCTGGCTTTACATATTTTACTTCAGAGGCTCTGACTGGGGCCCACTGTCTTACCTCCAGAGAAGCCTGCTTAAAAAATTTTCATGACAACCCAATTTTTCAAATCCAGTAGCAAGTTGTCCTAGAACTGCCTCTCTGCAGGGCAATGGGGCTGAGAGAGCAGGAAGCCCTCAATCTGTGACAAACTTTTACTTAGAGAAGGAAACAGTTCAAAGAAACTCTAAAATGGGAGGAAAATGGGATTTGGAATTTGTGTGTATATGTGCCAGGGGCTCCCTCTCCACAATATACGTTCCCCTCACCCCACTATATAAGAGCCTCTAGTAGCAGCCTTGACTTGGGCAAGTCTTGAGGAACAGTGACTCAGCAATGACCTGACAGCTAGCCTCCCCTTGGCTCCGGCATCACGATCTTCTCTGCCTCCCTGATTTTCCCTTAGGTACAGAGCTAGTCAAGGACCTTGAGCCTGCAGGAGAAAGGCAGATTCTTGCTTGCATAATTAGTAGCACCATGGCAACCAGTTCTTATTGTGAGGATCAATCATTCAGTGCTGATGATGTCACTCCAGTGACCAATCCAGGTAGGAGAAGTGCAGCTGCCACGGTGACAGGCATCAAGAAGCAGTTTCCTTGGAAGAATGAGGATCTAGAGTCCCCTGAGGCTCAGGCTGCCTGGAGGGGCGGTGCAGGGCCAGATGGAGGTGCTTGGCTCCACTGGGATTGCCTCGCCCAGGCCACCACCATCTTTCTTGGACCAAGACAACACCTCCTAACTGGTCTATTGATTCTACTCTTTCCCCTATCAATACATTCTTAAACAGTCTTTTAAAATTGTACATCACATTATTCTATTTCCTTCCTTAAGATCCCCAGTGATTTTTCCTCTGTACTTCGCATAAGATCTAGATGCTCTACTGTTGCCTACAAAGCTCTGTCTGGGCAGTTTTGAGCTTATTTATCCAATCCTATCTCCTATCACTGGTTGTTCTGTTTATTTCTCTAATGTGCCATTTAAAAAAATATTATACCCAAAGTAAAAACTCACCGGATGAGCTCCAAGCAGCATAGAAATGACAGAAGAGTCAGTCAATTTGAAGATGGGTCAACAGAAATAATCTAATCAGAACAAGAGAGAGAAAAAACATTGGGAAAAAAGTTGACAGAACTGCAGGGACCTGTGGCACAATACCAAAAGTCCAAAATTAATGTCATTGGAATTCCAAATTGAGAGGAGAAAGAGAGTCATACACAAAAAAATTTGAATAAATAAATGACTGAAAAATTCCCAAATGTGTCAAAAGACATAAGCCTAAAGATTCAAAAAGTTTAATGAATGCCAAATAGAATAAACTTAAAGAAGTCTATACTCTGACACATTATAATCAAAATTCTGAAAACTGAAACAAATAAAAAGTCTTCAACAACACGTGACTAAATAACAGTGAGATTCAGATAACTGGATTTCTCATTATAAACCATGGGGGCCAGAAGGAAGTGAAATAACATCTTTAAAGTGGTGAGAGAAATGATCTGTCAACTAAGAATTCTATATACAGCAAAAATACACTTTAGGAATGAAGGTGAAATAAGGATATTCTCAGATGAAGAAAAACTAAGATAATTGAAGAGAACTTCAATATGATAAAAAGGCATCTACAAAAAAGCTACAGCTAATGTCATAGTTAATGATCAAAATCCTTCCCCTGGCTGATTGTGGTGGCTCATGCCTGTAATCTCAGCACTTTGGGAGACTGAGGTGGGTGAATCACTTGAGAGAAGTTTGAGACCAATCTGACAAACATGGTGAAACTCCATCTCCACTAAAAATACAAAAATTAGTTGGGTGTGGTGGCGGGCACCCATAATCCCAGCTACTCGGGAGGCTGAGACATGAGAATCACTTAAACCTGGGAGGCAGAGGTTGCAGTGAGCTGAGATTACACCATTGCACTCCAGCCTGGGCAACAGTGCAAGACTCCACCTCAAAAA